CTGTCCAAAACCAAATCCCCACCCCCCCCACTAAGAGGAAAGAAAGTACTTACTGCAGCATCTGCCTGATCGTCTTCCAGTCGAGTCCCTTTAGATCTGTTTGCTTAAGCAGTGTAACAAATTTACTCTCAATATTTGCACACAGGAGGTGAGGGGATGTCTACTGGAAGAATGAGAAGCCACTTTTATTGGATGACAGAACATTTGTGGCTCCCACATTTCAGTGGCTCTTTTCAACATTTTTTTTTAAAGATTTATTTATTTGAGGGGCACCTGGGTGGCTCAGTGTGTTCAGCATCTGCCTTCGGCGCCGGTCACGATCCCAGGTCCTGGGATCGAGACCCGTGTTGGGCTCCCTGCTCAGCAGAGTCTGCTTCTCTCTCTCTCTCTCTCTCTTTGCCCCTGCTCCCAACTCAAGCTCTCTCTCTCTCTAATAAATAAAATATATTTTTAATAGATTTATTTATTTGACAGAGCAGGGGGAGGGGCAGAAGGAGAGAGAGAAACAGGCTCATGCAGGGCTCGATCCCAGGAATGCCGTGATCACGACCTGAGCCGAAACCAAGAGTCAGACGCTCAAAGGACTGAGCCACTCAGGCGCCCCTGCTTTTCAAATTTCTGAAAAGGAGTTCCATTTGTTCTGACAGTCGACCACGAATATCCCTGTTCTGGACTCCACACAGGCAATATGCAACTGCCTGCCGGAAGGCAAGGTAAATGCTCAAGGCAGCAGGTTTTCCGTGCAAGACCTACTGGCTGCCTTCGTCTCCTCACCCTGGATAATCTCTCTCCTTCTCAGAGGCAGAGCCCTCAGAAAGCTGTGGTAGGCACCCAGCTCCTCAGGAAGCAGGAAAGATGATGCAGAATAACGAACCACTGCAATCTTAAAACATTTTATTTGGTGCAGAAATGCTAAGGTACAAAAACAACATTTTGCAAATATCAGCTGTGACCTACTATCACCTATTTACAGTTATGTACAAATCAAATAAGACATTGTTTTCAATGTAAAAATAGAGCACACTGTTACAGTCTGTCAGTGCTCACTATTTCTCTAAACCCCACCAAGGACAATCTTAAAGATGAAACCAAGACAAGGACAACAACCACCATGTTCATGTTCCACAGGCTTTCCCCCCTAGGACGTAGTAACAGGGAGCTTCTGTAGTTTAAAAAAAAAAAAAAATTAGTGAAAATAGAAATTACCTACTCTCTAAATGAACGCAGGTGGTTTTTACAAAAGTTTTTGCTCTGTCCAGACTCACCATTCTTTTTCCTTGAGGAAAAAAACCCAAAACTTTGAAATAACAGTTACACATTAGTATGACCCAACAGTAATTTTTTTGTCTAACAGATGGAGCAGGCAACTTTGTCCGTATCGTGTACAAACAGAAGAATGCTTCTTTGAATCTTCTTGACTGAACTTTTATTTGGCATCAACATCAGATATGATCATAATCAGATTGCTTTTGTCAGACTTCTGATTGTGCAAAACACAGTGCTGAGTCATTTCAGAGTCATGGCTCCAGCCCTTCAGAACCCAGGAAAGCTCCTAGGGTTGTCTGCGGTCCCAGCAGAATTTCAGGGAGGAACCAAAGAATGGGATGAGAGGCAACCGGCCAAAATTCCCAAGAGGTCCTCCCTCACTCTCTTTGCAAATCAGCCCTTAGCAACTGCTCTCCATCTCGCCAGTGGTTAAAGTGAAGTCCAAACCATCTAATAATATTGTGAGTCATCAATTAGAGGTGATGTCTAGAGAGATGAGAAAATAGAATCTAAAACTGGCAGGGAGGGGGAGCTGCCACTCAGAAGGTGAGAGCTGGTCTTGAAGCAGCTCAGGAATGGCATTAAACACATCAGGAATAAGCACCAAGTGTCTGACCACAAGAAGGGTGGGGAGGACATAACAGGCTCTTGCTGGGCAGGAGGGATGAATGTGGCAACCAAGTAATCATCAAAATGAGTACAGGCAATATACCACTTTTTAAAAGTACCATTACAGTTTTAAGTAGTAAGAGAACCCGGGTGCATGAGGATTTCCTTGTAATCCCCATCCTGCCCTTGGCCTTCTTAAGGCACCAATGTGAGTAAGGCACCATGTTCTGTTTGCGCGACGAAACTGAGCGTGAAGCCGAGACACAGAACAGCGGTGAAAATGATCAAGCGCTTGCAAAACAAGAGCTACGAAGAATGGTTTAAGCAGGCGGGATTATTTACCACAGAAATAAAAACACCAAGGGGATGACTTCACTGGGGTTTTCAAATACATGGAAGGTAACCAGCTGTTCTTCTTCCACGACATGCGGAACAAAAGAAGGCTGGTTTGAATTTCTGTAAGATGTACAAAGAACTATCTGATCAGTGGGGTAGGTTACTGAATTTCCTTCCCTGAAAATCCAGCATCCCATCCACAGCCATAGGTCTGAAATAATTCAGGCTCAGACCCCGCTGACACCAGCAGGGGGAAGACATGCTAGATAATCCAAACTTTCTCCCAGGTCCAAAACTCTGAAATTGGAAGCCAAGCTATTGGCTTACAGTCAGACTTCCTTTTGTTTATTTCCACCCTGAGCCTGGAAAAGGAGGTGACATAGAAAGGATGACCCAACACCCCATAAGGACTCCTAACTGATCTCTCAGTATCAGGAAAAGCTTTTCTCCGTTTACTGTTTCACATCTCCAAAACAGAGTCGATTCACAGATCGTTTCAAACAGAAGACAATGCAAATGGCCTGACTCTGGTGGACACGTGGGGATTCCTTGCCCCACCCCCTACAATGTCTGCTTTTCTCTTTAACTCTTGGCCAAAGCTCAGAATTGCACACCGTTTAAAAAATTATTAAGCCAAGAACTAAAACTATAAATATGTCCTTTAGGTTGTGGAATTCAAGTGAAAGTTGCTCCAAGTCTTAGGTTTTTTAAATTGGAGAACATAAATCTGATTTTTTGTTTTGTTTTTTTAAGATTTTATTTTTTAGGTAACACTCTACACCCAACGTGGGGCTTGAACTTACAACCCCGAGATCAAGAGTTGTCCACTGTACCAACTGAGCCAGCCAGGCACCCCTTTATAAATCTGATTTTGAAATTAGTAACTGGTTTGCCTTTCTCTTAAGGCACCACAAAACATAAAGAAATAAAACATCGCAAATACATTCACAATATCAAACTTCTTTGGGGGAGCACGATGGGGGAAAATGATCTAGCCATCAGCTGCATTTAGCAAGAGCATTTTCTGGTAATACCAGACAGCTGTAATTACCATGAATGCTTTTCATTTCAAATCTTACAAGGCAAAGGGGCAAACTGGCAGCTAGTAGGCCAAATCAGGCCCACTCATGTGTTCTGTTGAGCTTGAATTGAAAAAAAAAAAAAAATTATTTAGTTGCCAATACCATTAAAAAAATCATAATTTTTCATATAAAACCCAGACTGTCAGGGTGGCTGGGTGGCTCCGTTGGGTTGAGCATCTGATCAGCTCAGTTCTTGATCTCAGGATCATGAGTTCAAGCCCCTCACTGGGCTCCACATTGGGCAAGGAGCCTACTTTAAAAAAAAATTCATATTCTCAGCCTCTCTTGAAAAATGGAAAAATCAGTAAACACTACATGGCCACAACTGCCTGGAAGAGCTGCCTTCCTGCAGGTGGGAAGTGCCTCCTGCAGGAAGCACTTGTTTGGCACAGTCCCCACCATGCCCTATGGTCTCTCTGACACTGGGGAGGCCACTCATTGCCATTTATACCACACCTTGTTTATCATTACTCCTGGCCTGCTGCATGGGCACCCCCTGAAGACATCCACTACATAAGAGCAACAGTCTTCACAAACAACAGAAAAGGCTAATAACCCTTACATGGGTATTGTCCACCTACATCTCTCCAATAAGGACACAAAGAATAATTCTCCCCTGAAAGAGCCAACTTAGTGCTGAGGCTACTGGGGATCGTGGGGTTTTCTTTAAGAGGAGTGTATATCATTTCTTCTCCAGGAATAAAATAGCTTTCGTTTCTTTTAAAAGATGCTCAATTCTGAAAAAAGGAAAAGTTCTGAAAATCATCTAACTCCACATTTTTGGAGGGACTGTCTTCCTGTTTATTTGTGCTTAAGTCAGGGAATCTGAGATGAGGCGTTGGTTAAAAAAAAAAAAAAAGAAGACATTTGCAGCTATGAAGTAGCAAGACTGAACTCTGATGTGCCAACACACATGAACTTAAATTACTACACATGGATTCCAATGTCATTGCTGTTAAAGACACTTTTCAAACTTGTGCTCTGGGACTGTCTTCAGTTATTACTAATGTGTCAACCAAAACCTGTCTCATGACTTTAAGGTCCCATCTCATTTTTGGCTCAAAATGCTATTACCTGGCTGATCACCCAACATGAATACCTAGGCCTGGACCTCAGTGACTTCTGATTCTTTCTGGAGACCAATGTGCCTCAAAGGCCCAGGATTTGGCTGTCTGGAGGACACTGCCCCCCCTCTGTGTCTGGCCTGGGTCTGTCTAGGTGGTTCTTGTTGCTTGGAGCCAACCTCTGGGAGAAAAGCTCACCTTTACCTGGGCTTCCAGCTCCCAAATCCCTCCCCCATCCCCCCTATATCCGATGAGAAGTCCTTTCTGCAGGGCACTGGTGAGTTAAGATCAACAACTAGCTCCCTACCTTCAACTACCTTCAAGACTTGCTTACCTGGTTCCTTGCACCTACCCCTGCTCTCCTGCCCAGAGGACACCAGCTAACTTAGCCACACAAGCCTCTTAGTCTCCAGATCATGGCTTCTCATGGAGACCATCCCTATAGTCTAAGTCTTATAGCCCCAATTTCTGAAAGCCTGTGGTTCAGCAGAACTTTTATCTGAATTCTATCTTACCATTTCCATTATCCGGAACAATGTCAAAGAATGCAGCCCTGCTTAAAACAGATGTTTTGCCTTAATCTGCAAAGCAACTGTTCTCATTCCCAGTAAGAGATGGAAAGGGTACAGAAGAAGAAGAAGAGGAGGAGGAGGAGGAGAAACTAATAAGGCAAAACCACGAAGTTGGGACATCTCAACTTAGTCTGACTTAGGCATTCATACTATGGTTTTGCTACTTGGTATGTTAGAATTTAATTGTGTTGAAACATAAGAAACATTAGTTCTTAAAAATAGGTATCCAAACCCTAAATCCAAACTAAAACTTTACCTGATTTTTGGTCTAGCACAGTTTTTCCTCTTGCATCTTCAAAAGAAGTAAGTTCATTTAGCCATCTCTCTGCCCATGCTCATGGAGCTCCATTGATGTTCCCCCCCACCCCCAGTCCTCTGTGCTGCTCTGGGGATTGCTTTCTCAGAGATGCCTCATTTTATGTGCAAAGCTGAATATCCCAAAAGTAGCTCCTCATGGTTCCTTTGGAGCATGCACCATTTCTTGGCCTCAGTCTCTCTGATAATGTTCCAAAGTGAATTTTCATGTTCGCAAGTTCCCTTGCAGAACTTATCCCAACGGCAGAATGGCAGGACAGTCACGTGTGGGCATGAGCTCTGCACATGTCCCAGATTCCACAGTGACATGGAACATCTCTTCTCCAACAAGATGCCTGATTTTATGGGGGAGACAGTTCTGCAGCTCACTTGTCTCCCCTTCAGAGCAGCTGCAGGAAACCTGATGCCGGAGACAGACAAGCATGTTCTTCTCCCAAGAAGCCGTCAGCTGCCTTTCCAGAACATGCAGTGTGGCATTTGCATCAAAAATACACACAAACCTCTTCTTTCCAGCAAGGCTGCAAACCTTCCCTTCCCCATCTGCCAAGCATGTGCTTGGATGGAAAAGTCATGCCCCATTCCACCTCCTACCCCTCCTTGAGCTGTTCCTCAGTATCTCCCGTAATATTGATCCTATCTGCTAAAGGAGTGAAACCCAGGATCCCCTGTGTGAGTGCTGAGTAAAAGCAGGGTGCCCAAATCCAACAGCACCCACAAAAAAGGTGGAGAAATATGCTTACAACCCCTCAAGGGGACAGGGGTTTCCACCTGGAAGACCAAGTCATCATGACCCACATACCTAATACACAAACAGGATTTGAACACCTGTTTTCTCTTTTGGAAACAGAAATTCTGTAGAAACATCATTCATAGAAACAGAACATTTACTTTTCCTTTTTAAAGCAAATTCTTTCCCCCTAAGCTCTAAATAGCTCTTTTGGTAGAAGAGAGCACAAAGACAAATCTTTCGTCTGGTAAGTAGAACAGAAACACACAGTGAAACATGATTCACAGGCTGGGTTGTTGAGGGGAGTGGGGAGGTGGGGAGTACTTTAAGATTCAAGAATTCAATGATTTCAGGTCTCCTGTCTTCTTCAGATGCTATTAGAAGAGCACACTCATCTTCGTGACCGTTCCCTTCTTCGCACCCCCTTAAAATGAGACTTCTCATTAGTCAAAACCGGCTCGGCAAAGTAAGTGGCCGCCATCTGTATGCACAGCCATATTTCAGTCGATCCTGATCCCTAATATTCCAGACACAGCTTTAGAACAGAAGTCCACTGAAGCATGAACTCCAGCTTCCAGTAAGACAGCCCAGTTGGATATTTGTCTTTTAAAAATAAACTTCCAGGCAGCAACGTCTGAGATACTGCACAGCGAACAGAACCCAGGGAAACCTGGCAGGCAGATCTGGCCCCCTCATGATGCCTCCTCACACCAACAGGTGTTCCTGTGCCCTGAGTTTTGATGCTTTCTGCACAATGACCAACCCAGGTCAGGAAATACTGATGGCATGTTCAGCCTGACCCCACAGCCCCCACCTCAGCCAGCCATGCCCCCACTAATACATAAAGACTCATTTTAGGAAAGCGGATAGTAGACTCAGTTACCTTTTTGACCTTTGACTCGGAGCTCTTTTGGACACCCACAGCACTGCAAATTCTACACTAAAACCATCATCTGTAACAACATGGATCCCAGAAAGACTGGCACTTGATTTCTGTGGCTAGAATGGTACTAAGAGTGCTTCTCCCACACAGCATTTCAGTTCAAAGTAGCCAACGGTAAACAGGCAAAGTTTGCAGAGAGAAACAAAATCTGAGTGATCAGTGCAGGTATGTTCCTGCATCTCCATGCCTGTTTCCTCCCTACCTCCCAGAACCGACTCTAATCCAAGGTCTGACCTAACGGGACAAGCTGCTCTCGGGCCTTATGGATATGCCTTTCAGAGATACCCATATGGTTTGAGAAAACTGGAGACTTGGCCAAGATACCAGGTAGAGGGATGGGGCATGGAGAGCAAGTACTGGCCCGAATTTCACTCCAAATATCCTTGTCGGAGACCTCAGCTCCAAGTGGACTGCGCAACCAGAGAGAAGAGCTGGGGGACCAGAGAGAGGCGGCAGCTAAAGTGGCAATGCTTAGACTCTACTTCCATTTCGTTACAAAGGGGCGACCGCGTGGAGTTCACCAGTGTAGCTGCAGCAACCAGGGTCTGCTTTGCACGCCCCGGAGGCAAGGAGCTTGGAAGGGAAGGTAGGAGGGTCCTCCTCACCTAAGGAAAGAAGACAGGGGGGAGCCACACGTCATTGTACTTTACCGGACCGGGGGCTCAGGCCAGGCTGTGGCTGAACCTGGGTTTGGACTACGGGCTTTACGAGTGAGGCAGGCCCCCCAACCAAGTCAAGACTGAGTAGTCCCATCCTATTGGCAGGTTCCCTTACTTGAGAGTCAAAGCTTGCATGGATGACTCCATGCACTGTAAGATACAACTCCAGAGGGCATCCTGCTGGCATTCCCTGGGGAGGCCGGGCTCTCCCACAGGGCCCTCCCACCGGGCCCTTTGCTGAGTCAGCTGTGGTGGACAGAACACCATGCCCACCAACCCCAGGATCGTTAAAAGACATGGCTTTGAAAGCACTGGCACGGGTGAGGGGTGGCGAACACTGCAAAGCCCAACAAACAAAGTCCACAGACCCTCATCTGGTACACTTGGGGCAAGCTCTGTCTTGGTAGCCAGAGGCCTGTGGAGGTCAGGAAGGTGATACAATGTACACACTGTATGTGGCATAACACTCCTGGCAGGGGCCAGGTAGCTCACCCTCACTTAGCCTCAGTATTCACTCACTGCTCACACAAGTGAACATCCCCATTGACTAGAAGAAATCGACACTATCAGTGGAGTCGTGCTCCTGCCCATAAGCGTCATTGCCAACAAGTCTGTACCCAACTTAAAAAAACACTTGCGTGGATTTGGGAATTAGGGACAAAGGCTATGGACTGCATCAGGAATCCGACCCCAAAGCACCCTCAGCTCCCCCGCGCCTTACCCAGGCCGGAGGAGGACGACACGCTCTCTGTCAGCGAAGATGTTTCTGTCTGATCTGCCGAGAGTCCTTCCATTAGGGGCAGGGACAGCTCCGAGGAGGGCACTGATGAGTCGTAGATGCCCGAGTCCCGAGGCATGTCCGAGGGGCTGGAGGCTTTCCCGGCATGCAGCAGGGGCCGCAGGACCGAGCCACCTCCTGGCCCGGGCCCAGCCTCTGCGTCTTGGTCCAGGCCCAACTGCAGGCCCTCCGAGGGTGAGTTGGCCAGTGCCTCGGGGACCGCAGCCTCCGCCTTGAGGCAGAAATCGCCATCGGGCTCTGGTTTGCACATGACCTCATTTAACACCAAGCCCGAGTCAAACTTCTCCAGCACTGGCTCTCGGGAGTGGAGTGGGGGAGGCCGGAGGGGGACAAACTGCTTCTCAAACCAGTCAGGCTCCTCGTCGATAAACTGGTGCATGTTGCAAATGGCGACGTAAAGGGACCGGCCTGACTTGCTGCGAAAGTAGTTCCTTCTGCTCACCTGTCCCAGGTACTGCCCAGGCTCCAGGAAGCCATGGTCTCTGGAGTGCAGGTGGGAACAGAGCTGGGGAAGGTTGTCCATGAGCTTGTACTTAGTGCTCAGGTCCAGGACGCCAGGAACATCGCCCTCGCAGGAATAATCGAAGTACACAGCGATGAACTTGCTGAGCTGGGCAGAGGAGCTCTGCTTGGCCTGGCGGAGCTTCTCCGCGATGGCCGCCACCGCCACCAGGAAGAGCTCCCCTTTTCCCGAGCCGCGGCCGCTGCCTTTGTGCTTATAGTTCTTCTTGTCCACGAAGTACTTCATGCCTTTGGAACACACCACGATGATGAACTGGGACTCGTGGATCTTCTGGATGACCCATTCTCTCTGCCCTTCTCGGCAGAGGCTGAAGTCCTCCCACAGGTCCAGAGCCACCTGGAACGAGAACAAGGACCTCACTCACCTACACAGCCTGGGGCGTCGGGCAACAAAAACAAGAGGGTTAGACGAAGGTCCCCTCGTATGTCCTTTAAGCGTCATCAGCACTGCTGCATGCGGGCTCAGGGATGCAGGATCTGGGAATAGCTAGTGTTCTGTGGGTGACAGTGACATGCCAGGCCCTCTGCATTTGTGCTTATTTCAGCCTAAAGTGGGGGCCTTTACCACTCACCCCCTACGAGGGAAAAAACGGAGGGAAAAGAGCTTCTGGCAACCTGCCAAAGTCATATATCCCAAGTGAGGCCCTCAAGGGGGCTCTGAGTGTGCTAGTGAGCCCCTTGAATGGGAGGCCTGGGGCCGGTCTCTGTAATGAGTGCAGCAGACACTTTGTCCCAAAGGCAAAGCTGGAAGGTGATGGTGGATAGGTCTGAGTGAGGGACCCCAAAGCAGGCAGGAAATTCAGCTCAGGTCTGGATGTCAGAGTGGCCCACAGTGCTAGCTGACTCATATCCACAGAATGTGATGGACAGAGAAGACCTCCTTGGCCTGTCTCACAGCCCCAGGGTCAGCCATGCTGTTTACCAGTGCATCAACGACCAGAGTGGGGTGGGGGTGGACTGCAGTAACATAGCCACTGCAGGTAGCTCACTTGTGAGTGACTGGCACCTCCCACCATGATGTCACAGCAGTCTGGGGGGGGGGTGGGTCATATCCATATAAGGCCTTTAATCCCAAGGAGGTTCTGGGAGGGAGCTGGGGGTGGGGGCACCCACAAAGCAAAGAAAATGGGGCATGCATGTGCCCCTCAGAGGGCTTCACCTTCTCAGACCATTTTCATCTGATTCTGCTGAAAATGTCTCTTGGCAGTTTTATCGCCTCTTTCCTTTTGTAGTCCAGAAACGAATTCTCAGTGGCTATGCCTGAACAGGAGCCACAGTCTCTTATGGGGAAGGGGGTTCTGAAATGACTTTGTCTTCCTCTTTGGCTCTAAGGAAGGCGGTCCCCAAGATCCACCTACTTGCTGAAAATAATCCTGAATTGACTTAATTAATTAATTAATTGCCTTAACTCACTAGCATTATACATTCTAAAAGCTAACTGGGAGTATATACCAAGCATTTTTAAAATGTTACCATCTTTGACCCAGCCATTCCACTTCCAAGCTTCCAGCTCTGGAAAGTCATCAAAAATGAGGTAAAATTGAACTAGTGACCTCTTTAGCAATATGAAATAACTCAATTATAGTGAAATGATATTATGGATCACTATTTAAAATTGGCTCTTGAGGCTCCTGGGTGGCTCAGTGGGTTAAAGCCTCTGCCTTCGGCTCAGGTCATGATCCCAGGGTCCTGGGATCAAGCCCCGCATCAGGCTCTCTGCTCAGCGGGGAGCCTGCTTCCCTTCCTCTGTCTGCCTGCCTCTGCCTACTTGTGATCTCTGTCTGTCAAATAAATAAATAAAAATCTTTAAAATAAAATAAAATAAAATTGCCTCTTTAAAATTGGATGGTGAAGCCACTCTGGAAAGCAGTATGGAGCTTCCTCAGAAAGTTAAAAACAGAACTACCCTACAATCCAGTAATTGCACTACTAGGTTATTTAGCCAAAGAATACAAAAATACACATCGGAGATATACACACCCTGGTGTCTATAGCAGCATTATCAACAATAGCCAAATTATGGGAAGAGCCCGGATGTCCACTGACTGATGAAGGGATAAAGATGTGGTGCGTATATAGCTACAACAGAATATTATTCAGCTCTAAAAAAGAATGAAATCTTGCCATTTGCAATGACATGGATAGAGCTAGAGAGTATTGTGCTAGGCAAAATAAGTCAGTCAGAGAAAGACAAATACCATACTGCTTCACTCATGTATGGAATTTAAGAAACAAAAACCATCCTAGGGGGATAAAAGGGAGAGGCAAACCAAGAAACAGACTCTTAACTCCAGAGAACCAACTGATGGTTACCAGAGGGGAGGTGGATGGGGGAGGAGTGAAATAGGGGTGGGGGTTAAGGAGGGCACTGGTCAAGATGAGCACTGGGTATTGTATAGAAGGGCTGAATCACTATACTGTACACCTGAAACTACTATTACGCTGTATGCTAACTGACGGGTTTTAAATAAAAACTTTAAACAATAATAAAATAAAATTGCAGTTTACATAGAACTTCCAATAGTGTAAAGAATTATTAAATGAAAAGACAGAAAAATCATTCTAATACCCCCCCATATGCAAAACCATATGCATGAGTTCATCTGTGTAGAAAAAACTGGGAAGGAAATACACCAAATATTAACTGTGGATCCTCTTCCTCCAGGGTGAGATTACAGGTCATTTTTTCTGGTCATTTTTTCCAGTTTCCAAAATTTCTACAGTAAGTACTACACTCACAATTGGAAGACGTGCTCCCCATCCCCGAGGCTAGTTAATTACAAAGCAGAGCACATGGGTCGTCTGAAGACCGTGTGGCACCAACCAGAGGTTCCAGTTGGTTTTTCAGTACCGGCTGGGGTCTGCCCATCTCCCCAGCTTCACGCGTCAGTCTTGTAAATAGGCGTTATGGACACTAGGGGGCAGCCTTGGCACATGGAGAGACTGAGAAACCCACCAGCAGGCAGTATCAAAGCACCAGTAACTTTCATTACACAGCCATTGTACAGTTCTTGCATTGGTAAGAAATAGAGTGTGCCTTCCATGAGAGCTTCAAACTTCACTCTAAAATTAGCCCTATGACATAGAAAAGCTGCATATTCATAGTTTAACTCGAGAACAGGCAAGAAACCGAGGCAGACCATTTGAGTCCTTGACACATTATTGTTTTCCTTTCTTAGCAAAACTCCTCCAAAGTATTGTTTAAACCCCCTGCTTGATCTTCCATCCTCTCTCTGACCCGTCAAGGCTCACCAAGATGTCTTGAGTGACCACCTCCCCCCACTCCTTTTGCATGTTCCGAGGCATGGGCCATACCCCTCCAGGCAACTGCACGGTTTTCTTGATGTTTATCAAACTTCCCGCCAGGTAGGTGCCACAAGAGGCTTCTGAGAAGGGGTAGTACTAAGGGTTCGGGAACATTTAGTACTGGTGATGGGCAGGACAGACTGAAGGAGGAGTGTGAGGCTGACCCCAATTTGGAAGGGGGCTAGGCACTGGGGGAGGGCAAATGCTGCCCAAGGAAGCCTGGAGGGAGGGAGAGAGCGTGGAGAGCACAGGGAGCACATGTCCTTCCCCGGGGGGAAGAGAAGAGACTTCTGATTCCTCACCTCACAGCCACAGAAGTCCTGGAGGAAGTAGGCAAAACACCGGACAACGTTCATGTGGTTCTGGCCATCTTTGCTGGAATAGCAGAGGAAGACCTTGGGCCGTGGCCGGAGCCTCTCCCTGGGGAGCACCGTGGTGTACGAGGACGACTCAGAACTCTCTTCATCTAAATGTGAATATATATTTTCTAAATTGGAAAAGAAGATAGGGTTGATGCCTACAAGCAATGCTTTGTCCTGTGCCCTAAGACTCAGGGACCTAATGCCATCTTCAAGAAACAACAGTTGATACACCAGTCCCCAGTCCCTGGGGTCCCCACTGGAAACAGGACAGCTGATCTCTCCAGTGGAGCAACAAATGGCCAAAATGGGTCGTTCACCTGAAAATGACCTTGGGTAAGCCGAGAAAACTGTCGGGACCACTCTGGTGAGCAGAGAGCACCCAGAAGCAGGTCTTAAAACAAGTGTACCTACCAGCCCAATTAAGCACTAACAGAGCTGACCTTTTTAAAAAAAAAAAAAAAAAAAAAAAAGGCAAAACCAAAAGAAAACCCTTTTATTGAGGTATAACCTACAAAGGTAAAGTGCATAAATCTTAAGAGTAGTCTCGGTAAGCTTTAATCTAAGTAGATACCTGTGCAATCATCACTCAGATCAAGATAGAAAACATTTCCAAGCTCCCTAAAAAGTTCGCTCCCGACACCTGCCTCTCCCCTCGCTCATACTTTCAAGGCTTCATTTATGTTCTTGAATTTACTACCCTGAGTTTGGGAACAGAATTATGGCCTCATGTTCATAGCTCCTGCGGTTAAAAGTCAAGTATCTTAATGCTAGGAACTATAGGACCCACATGGCCTCCCAGATACCCATTTGGTTGGGGGGCACGGTGGGGTGCAGTAGTACCAAGGCCCGAGGACTCCCAGGGTCCCCCTGTTAGCTGATGTCCTGCCCACCTGGAGGGAACACACCACGCAAAGAGATACCTTGTTGTTTCTTGCGGCACATCACGGTGAAGAGGGTCGCAAATGCCGAGATGACAACCAGCGGCACAGTGATGGCAATAGCCCTGATGGGCCCAGCCCATGGGGAATGTGCTGGGAAATGTCAAAGACAAGGCTTGAAACTTAAGCAGCACAAGTTCAAAGAGAATTTTTTTTTCCCCTTTTTTTGTTTTTAAAGAGTTTATTTGTAAGGAATCTCTACATCCAATGTGGGGCTTGAACTCACAACGCCAAGGTCAAGTGTCCCATACTCTACTGACTGAGCCAGCCAGGCACCCCTCTTTTCCTCTTTTTAAACATAAGCAGTGTAACAGGTTCTGGGAGCCCTGACCACTTTCTCTAGTTAGTACTGGTCTGGTGATTATGAAAGGATTCCTTTTAAAGAATATGTAAAATATTATTCAACAGTTAGAGTCACTGAGACAGTAAATATTTGTGAGAATTTTGCCCTGGGAAACCTCACCTCCCACCACTTTTCTTCCAAGGACAAGTGACTGTTTGATCCCAGCTACACATAGACACACACACCCACACATACACACCAACCACACTGGCCTCCATCTTCCAGGCATCAACATTAGGATGAAAGGAAAGTTGCTTTGATGGAACATTTTTATTTATTAATTTATTTTTGGAAGAGTGAGGTGGGTAGGGGGAGAGGGAGAGAGAGAACCTTAAGTAGAACCCCTGGGCTCAGCACAGACCCTGACACAGGGCTCGATCTCATGACCCTGAGATCGTGACTGGAGCCAAGTCAAGACTCAGTCACTCAACCAACCAAGCCCCCCAGGTGCCCCTGAGGGGACATCTTTTAAAAGAGAGGAACTCGGGTGCCTGGGTGGCTCAGTGGGTTAAGCCTCTGCCTTCAGCTCAGGTCATGATCTCGGGGTCCAGGGATCGAGCGCCGCGTCGGGCTCCCTGCAGGGAGCCTGCTTCCCCCTCTCTCTCTGCCTGCTTCTCTGCCTACTTGTGATCTCTCTCTCTCTGTGTCAAATAAATAAATAAATAAAATCTTTAAAAAAAAAAGAGAGAGAGAGAGAGAGAGGAACCCAAATGCTGTGTTTTGATTTTCTAAACCATAAAGTACAGAAAGTATCAAATAGCATGGTCTACTGTATTCCAGAGCCAACATTTCATGCAGAAAAAAAAAAAAAAAAATCATACCAGGCTTTAAGGCATAATGCATCACTTTCCTTGTTGTATTAGTGTCATCCACCAGCTGCAAAACAGAGGGTGTTGTATCATTATTTTTTTTGAAGTGATAACATCTCAACAGATTTCATTCATTTTTCCATCTGTGGACAGTGTGGGGGCAGGAGGACGGTGAGCTGATGCCGCGGATCATTTACGAGCTGAGACTAGACATTAAATCAGATAAATCTCTGCTTTACCAACTCAAAACTCTCAACCTCATCACCTTCCATGAATCAAACATTGTTCATTCATTGGTGAGCTCAGCTAGTGAGTTCCATGTTCTAACAATCCTCCATTATAATGGCATCCTATCGCTCATTTTACGGGGCCACCATTAATGCTTTCAGCGGGTGTGTCTGTTCAAAACCACAAACTACTACCAAGTCATACAACACGTGTGTCTCCCAAAACGTTAAGACATGTTGACTGTCTCTAAATAGCAGGGCTGTGAACAAATTTTTCATTTCCTTTTCTATTTTTCTTTTATTCCTATTTTTGTGGTATGTTTGATACTGGAAAAGGAATCTAAAATAAAAGAGGAAAAATACTATCATTTGCTTGCTTTTTTCAGTGGTATTTTAGAATTTCATGTATATGGATATCGAAAATGTCAGCAGAAACCTAGAGAAGTATAGGCAGATATAATGGGCAGAACTTTTCCTTTCTGTTTAACTAACAGTTTTTAGGGACACCTGGGTGGCTCAGTCGGTTAAACGCCTGCCTTTGGCTCAGGCCATGATCCCAGCGTCCTGGGATCAAGTCCCAAGTCAGGCTCTTTGCTCAGTGGGGAGCCTGCATTGCCCTATGACTGCCTCTCTCTCTCTTGCTGACATATAAATAAGTAAAATCTTAAAAAAAAATAAAAATAAAAGTTTTTAAATCTAAATTTAAAAAAAGCTATTTTTGTAGTAGGGGCCCAGAGCAGGTTGCCACAGTATGTAACACAATGGCCTACTAATAAATATTTTGTAATGTAACTACTGGAGAAAGAAGTAGTATAAGGACCCTCAGACCATACCTCTGTCCCTCTGAAAGCAGAAAATAGATCTCCCATATGGCAAATACCCTCACTTCCCTATAAAGTAAAAATGACATCCTTAATTTTCTAAGATAGGGACTTTAAAGTCGAGAGAACTGTAAAAACAAACCTTGTTACTTTTTTTGTCTAATTTATTAACTCAGCCTAAATTCCACTTAGAACCCTTTCCTAATTAAAGCTCCCAAATACCTATTTTCTTTATCTTGTCAATTCTTCACAAATTTATTATCTCTTTGTCCAAAAAGCATAACAACTGTGCCTGCCTTTGTCATTTCCTTGGGTTTCAATTTCATTTTGGGGCCTCTGTGCGCACTGAGTAAGACTCTGGTTTTTTTCTCCCCTTAATCTGTCTCACGTCAATTTAATTCCTAAACCAGCTGGAAGAACCCAGGGAGGAAAGAAGGAATTTCTTCCTCCCCTACAAAGGAATACTGTATAGAAATTCTAAATCATGGTTATATGGACTATATGGTTTCATAAAAATATTTATATGAACTATTTTAAATGCTAAATGAGAAACATCAAAGGCTGATTACGTATAAACTTTCTAAAAAGCATGTTAAGGACTATGTAAAAATACAACTATGCATTACCTTCAATGGCTTGAAATTTTGGTGTTGTAAACAGTTGGAATTCTTCATGAACTAGATTCACTCTGTAGCATTAATAGTAGGGCTTTCTTGAGTTATACATACCTCAATTATATAATCCCCAGGAGAAACGTTTTGAAGGAGGCAGCTGGTTGTCTCTGTATTTTGCTCCTGCAAAGAAACAATACCAACCCTTTAAAAACTCACTTCTTAGATGAGGGTCATCTGGACCTCTCTTTTCCCCCAGAGCTGAGGGACACTTGCCACCTGTCTTGACCATGTTCAGAATACATCAATTAGATCAGTAAGCAACCCTGTTTATCTGCTACACAGGATTTGACCTTCACTCTGATAGGAAAGCCCAGGAGAGCGCAGGACCCCCATCACAGTCTATACTTAGTGGGGCCCTCAGTAGGACGATTTCATTTGCAGACAAGGAACCTAGTTAGAATATCCCTTACTTATTGAACGGGTGAGGAAAGAAATTACCTGCCCATGTTTGTGCATATTTTATACGCTGTAATTTCGACGGGAGGTCAAGGACAGAGGTGAGAGCCCGCAGGAAAGCAAAACTCAACAGGACAGAAGCACATCTAGGAAGGTGCTAGGTTCTGCTACCATGACCAAAAACCTCTCTTAGTGCTTACTAGAGGCCGGTCCTGTGGTCTTCCACAAGACATTTGCCCCTCTTGCTGACAGCCCTCAGTTTAAGAACTTGGTTGTTGAATTTCTACATAACTTTGGTCTATGTGTACAATCACAGTAAGCCCCTGAAATCTTAGTGCCTTGGCTCCAAGATGTGATTTTCTACTGACTAGCAGTGTGACTTTGAGTGAGCCAAGTGACCTCACGCAGCCTTGGGTCGCCCATCTGTAGAGTGGGGTGACAGCAGCCTCTGTTGCATAGAGTTGTAAGGATTCAATCAGCATAAAACATGGCGACTGGCACACAGTGAGCACCCAATTAATGTTTAAAAGAGCAGAATGGGGGCGCCTGGGTGGCTCAGTTGGTTGGGCGACTACCTTTGGCTCAGGTCACAATCCTGGAGCCCCAAGATCGAGTCCTGAGTTGGGCTCCCAGCTCTATGGGGAGTCTGCTTCTCCCTCTGACCTTCTCCCCTCTCATGCTCTTTCTCACTCTCTCTCTCAAATAAATAAGTAAAATCTTTTAAAAATAAAATAAAATAGAGCAGAATGAACTAGAAATACTTAATTCTTTTGGTTCCTTGGTAAAACCTTTCCCAGGCTTCATCCCCCATGGGATAGCAGGTGTGTAGATAACTGGAGAGTGAGTGTTGTCCCTGAGACCTAACATTCTGGATTATCTACCAATTGCTGAGATAAAGCCTCATGTTCACGTTGAACCATCCAAATTCCATGGGCACAGGGGTCACTTTAAAACATGTATTGGGGCACCTGGGTGGCTCAGTTGGTGAAGCGTCTGCCGTTGGCTCTGGTCATGATCTAGGGGTCCTGGGATCGAGTCCCTGCATCAGTCTCTCTGCTCAGCAGGGAGTCTGCTTCTCCTTCTCCCTCTGTGCTCTCTCTCTCAAATAAATAAATAAAAGCTTTTAAAAAAAATAAAGAGAATAAAAATAAAAACAATGAGAGAGAGAGAGAGCATGGGAGGGGGGAGCCCGATGAAGGACTGGATCATGGGACTCCAAGGTCATGGCCTGAACTGAAGGCAGCGGCTTAACCAACTGAGCAGCCAGGCACCCAAAAAAAAAAAAAACAAAAAAAACAAAAAAAAAACACCCCTTTTAAAAATAAATAAATAAATAATGCAGTGTTCCTGAATGTACGCACAGCAGCAGCTCACCTGTTTACAGGTCTTTCTCCTGAAAGGCCCTTCATGCTTGAGCTTATAGTGAAGATAGAAGAAACGGAAGCCAAAGGTGTGTGGCGCGGGATCAAAGGACACCTGCATGTCCAAACCGTGCTGAGTGATGTTCAGGTTCCGAGGCTTCCAGACTGGGAGGAGGAAGGACCAGAGTGAGCACCCAGGGGCCCCCCCCACCGACACTGCCGTGTGGGCAGGACCTGATGGACGGGACCAGCTCTACTTACACGGCTTACAGGCCAGGTTGTCCGGCTGCAGCAACAGGTCACAGGCTATGAAGAAAGATGCAAAGTTTTAGTTTCCACACAGTTTGACATTTTCCTCCTTTTGGATGAGGAAATAAAATACATAAGATAAAATAAAAATGTTGGATGTTCAATAAAATACAAATACACGGTGCAGGGTAATGTGGGGAAAAGTATAAGATATGCCAATTCAGCAAGGATTTTCAGTACAGTGTAGTTATAGCTTATGAAAATTTAAATTAGACAACATAAAAATATGAACGCGCTTCATTTTATGCCAAATAAATGGAAACAGTGTCAAGTCACCCAGAATCTTGAAGCTTGTCGAGCATGACAGAGTTTCAAGGTCAGCAGCCAAGGGCAGGAGGACTGTGTTCAGGCTGCTGCCACAGACTCTGGTTTAGCTGTGAACAGAAATAAAGCCAGCCCCTGCTCCTCTGTCCGGGGGTTTAGGCACAACAGAACTCTGGAGTGATGTTGGTAACTGTCCTGGGATGGCTGTGACCTTCGCTAGCAAATGCTCTGATGGAGTCTAAAAATGGCATCGAGACATCTACCAGGTAGTAGCACCAAACCAACAGGGCTTGGAAGCAGGGCTTAAATGTGACGCTAACACAGTAAGAGAGGCCCAAGAGCTGGTCCAGGATGCCATGCTGCTCACCCAGGGAGAACCCTCCGGCAAATGCCCACACAATGCCAAGAAAAGCAAGGCAGCCTCCAGATCCCAGGGCACCAAAACGGTGATAAAATTCCATCTTCTGCCTCTGCCTCACCTCCAAATAGACATGTTGATTCCGACGGGAAAAATTAACCTTAAACTATGTTAATTCTGATCAAAGCGAGCTTTTCATAAATGCATCCGAATCCTCTAATTGGTTATATATGCCAGGCATTGAGATGTAACATGCACATAGTCTTTGCCCTATGGAATCCTATTTTAATTAAGAAAATGAGACCAAGTGTTATAAAATAACTTTGCTGCACAGAAACTACAGTTAAAAAAGAAGGAAGGAAGGAAGGAAGGAAGGAAGGAAGGAAGGAAGGAAGGAAGAAAAGGAAGGCAAAAAGAAAACAACCAGAGTATGAGTTCCGGAGTTGAGAACAAAAACATCCTAGAGTGGGAGGACGGCAATAAGGACGCAGGAAGGGCTGTCACACTGGACTGCCAGCGGACCGTCGGGGGCCTGGAACGCCAGACAAGAAAGGCCCAACCAGGAGGGCAAGAGGGAACAGCTGCAGGTTTTGGGATGCCTGGGCACCGAATCTGAAAGCGGAGATTCAGGCTGAGGAAAGACACACCACACCACGTGCAAAACAGATGGCAAACGGAAGGCGGCACAGATGGCTGTAGAGCGTGGACGTGAGAGTCAGACTTCTGGGTTTGAATCCCAGCTCCGGCCAGAGGCTCTTTAACGTCTGGGTGTGTAATTCCACATCTAATAAGTAGAGATGGGAGGATTAAATTCTCTGAAGGGTCGGGATGGGGGTAAACTGAGTCAGTGTTTAGAAAGGATTTAGAGGGGCGCCTGGGTGGCTCAGTGGGTTAGAGCCTCTGCCTTCGGCTCGGGTCATGATCCCAGGGTCCTGGGATGGAGCCCTGCATCGGGCTCTCTGCTCAGCAGGGAGCCTGCCTCCTCCTCTCTCTACCTGCCTCCTCCTCTCTCTGCCTGCCTCTCTGCCTACTTGTGATCTCTGTCAAATAAATAAATAAAAATCTTTAAAAAAAAAAAAAAAAAGAAAGAAAAAGAAAGCATTTAGAACTGGGCCTGATACATAGATGTTAAACTTTCTAGAAAGATGCAATCTCAGGGTTACTGATTTGACTGTCCTAATGTAATCCTGAAAACAGACAATCACAGAAGCCATTTTCCTGATAACAGGTAAAAAAAAGATGGAATTATTTCATGCTCTACGCTTCATCCCCAAAATCAACCGCTACTTTTTTGTCCTCCCCCCACCACCACCAAATGGTTTTAATTTATGGTTGTCTTATAGCAGCTGCGCCCCCCCACACACTCAAAAAAAAAAAAAAAAATCAAGCATCATGTCTACTCTTGAACCAGCTGGCAATGGGCATCTCAGGTCAAGTGAACTTCTAAGAATTGCTTTTCTGGATACTTTTTCTGGATGCTTTTGTCCTCACCATGCTGGTTTCACACTAGTATTTGGTGGGCTCTTCAATATATCGGCCCAAAAAGTCATTGGGGTCAGGAGCAGTCTCGTGATGGGAACCCAGCAGGCAGGCCATACTTACCACGGGTTCTAAAGAAGAAAGGGTGGTAATTGCTTTCATTTTTAATGGATGGAAAAGGGACGATCTTCACAAAGTAATCCGTTTCAAATTTCATATTCAGGAAAGGTTGAGATTCCATTCCCTAAAAGGGAATAAAAACAGACACGATATCATGAAGAAATCACCCAACCCTCCACCTACACACCAGACCTTCAGGCCTCCCTGACGGTCACCCACACACTCTTCCAGACCCGGGGTCTGTTTTCAGGACCACATTTAACGGGAATAAAAGATCGGCAGTGCTGCCTGTTCTCTGGCAGGGAAGCCATGGCTGGTTAACATGGAACCTCAGAGCTGGTGGGGAAGAGCTCACACCCTCTTGAGAGCACAAACCCACCTTCCAGGACATGTAACCCGAGAGGTGTGTGCTAGAGGGATTCTTTGGGCATGGAGCAGGCTTGAAGTGTTGCTGAGCTATTTCTCACCCACCTTGGCAGGAGGGGTGGACCCCACAGCCCCTCCTTCTCCAGTTTCACAGATGTTCAATCAGACCATGGCGTGACCCCCTGAACAATGGCGTGTCTTCAGGAGCACAGTCTGTGCGTGTGACTTACGGTTCTTTTGAAGCTACTGTTGAGCTGCTTTGGGTCCTTTAGAATCAGTTGTTGGCACCGTCTTCCCTCCGACTTCAGCTCCTCCAGTATTACTCGAAATCCTTTTAGGAATTCGATGCCTAAGCAAAGCAGAATTCTTTTATGTAAAGCGGACCTAATTACCTTTGAACACACTTTTCCTGCCTCCCAGATTACCTTCCTTTCCGCCTACACAACAGTTAAAGGAATTCTAACTTCGGCCTGAATATCCGGGCTTTAAGGGAGGAAAACCGAGTGCCCTGGATTCCTCTGAGACAGGCCAGGTGATTTCAGAGAAAATTAATTAGCTCTACTGCAGACAGCCATTTCACAAATGCCCATTGCCTCTGTGACATCAGGGTTCAAACACTTAGGCTCAAGTCACAATGCATCCTAAAAGCCTACCGTGGAATACATAATTTCTAGGTCATCAGATGGGGTGTATTCGGCTGATGATAATTCCCAGTGCTGACTAGGACCCGACTCTCCCCAAACCATGTTTCTGCTTTAAGTTTTTGTCCTGTATTTGCTGGCATGGTTCACTGAGTCATGCACAAAATTCCCAACAAAGTGTGTGTCTGCACCCAAGGGGTTCCTAGGCTTGAGATTAAATAGTTTAGAATGCCTATGTGATTTACAAAGCAGTTCTTGCTCTAATCAGGCCTGAAAGGCAGACACCCAAGGGCTGCCCAGTGTGTGCTCTTCATACAGCCCTCAGAGGCCTGAGACGCCCACCGTGCTGCTGAAAGGCACTGGACCAGCCTCCTGCCACCTGGGGATTAGCTCTGCTGATCACAAGAGCCAGCCTCAGCACTCTGCATCCCATGGAAACTACAGCGGTCCAACCGCAGCTGGAGATCCCCGAAGCCGGCCTCAGTTGGCGCGGTATCGATTTCGCATTCTTTCTGAACACTACACAAGGAGACAATTTCAACCCTTCCCCCTCACAGGGCAAAAGTAATGACATAGGATGCAATTAACCAGGTGGGACAATTACTGATGGCAAAGGACAGGGAAATCTTTTTTGAACAGGTTCTCCCCTCCTATAATTATTTGATGAAGAACATATATTTTCCGGTGAGTAGGGCAAAGGTGGCACAATGAGAGCTTCACATTTTCAGGGGTCACAGTGTAAAATGTGCTGGTATGGACTGCCACGTTGCATTTCAAATACAAAGCTTCTTGTGAGGATAAAAGCCCGCCAACCCACAGCCCAAGATTCAGACATGCTAACAAGAGCCAAGGTCTTTGACCAGTGACCAGTTAGCAGATCTCACATGAACTTCCCTTATGAGATAAAAAAAAATAAAAAATAAAAAGAGTTGAACAAATCCTTATTATTTATACTAAGATTTAATTCATGCCATGTCCCCAGAGCTGCTATTTAACAAAAGCTGGGTAATTAATAGGATTCAAGGCTGTACATTTCAGTTTCATAAAAATTCGTCAGCTGAGGTGGGATTGGGTGGTTGTAGTCCTTATTGAAAAACCACTATGTCAAGTCTGGGGTGGGGGTGGGGATGGGGGTAGAAGCAGCAAATGTAAATCTTACATCAGAGGGACACCTTTATCACAACACCCTGAATGCCTCGTAGTTCCATGTGTAGCAACTTCATAGAGTAGCTTCTGACGAGGAAACTTATTTGCTCCTCTCCATCATTTTAAACCCACAAATCCTCCTAACATCCATGGAAGGAAGGTGTTATCCCCATTTGACAGATGAAGAAACAGCTATTGAGACGCTGAAGGACTTGCCCAGGATCACACAGGAATTAAACAGCAGATGTGGGACTCGAACCCTGCCAGTGTCTGGCTCTAAGCTGGTGCTCTTACCCCGAATGCTTCTCCGTCTCCCAGCAAGTTTCCTTGATAGGATTTGAAAGAACCTCAGAGAAGCAGAACCTGTCCACCCACAAATCACTGTGCATGAAAAGCACCACATTCTGCCCTCACCACTCCACCTGTTAGTTTTCCAACCACATGCTCGCGTCCCTTCCTTTCATTCTAAAGGAGCCTGCAATTTGTCAGGCCAGCCCCTCTGCTGTACAGCCCTACATGGAGTGACCACTTCCCGTTTATCCACAGAGAATGTTTTTATCTTTAAATGTTAAGATAATGTTATTTTTGGAAAACCCGCTGCATTCAGACCCAGCGGTATTTACATGGATAAGTGAGTCAGGCCCGTGGGTCTGATCTATCCTCCCTCGCTCTGCACTCACCTCTCCTACAGTCGGATTTTTCTGAGATTTATCCTGTTCAGATGAAGAAATCCAGGCTTTTATTGTACTTTTCCCTTAGCCAGTTTTGTTTTTTTTTTTTTTTTTTTTTAATTCTAAGATTCAGTGGCAATGTCAAAGGAATAGGATTGAGGACCAGGTACTTTTTTCTTTTTTTGTATTTGACTTATTTATTTGACAGAGAGAGACACAGCGAGAGAGGGAACATAAGCAGGGGAAGTGGGAGAGGGAGAGGCAGGCTCCCCACCAAGCAGGGAGCCCAATGCAGGGCTCAATCCCAGGACCCTGGAATCATGACCTGAGCCAAAGCAGATGCCTAACAACTAAGCCACCCAGGCACCCCAAGGACCAGGTTCTGATGATGATAACAGTAGCCACCCCCCCATTTTGTTTTTTTCTTAAAGATTTTATTTTAAAGTAATCTCTACGCTCGATGTGGGGCTTGAACCTACAACCCCAAGATCAAGAGTCACATGCTCCACAGACTAGGCGATGCAGATGCCCCAACAGCTACTATTTTTTTAAGACCTCTTTCTAGGGGCAGCCAGCTGGCCCAGTCAGTGGAGCATGCAAGCCCTGATCTCAGGGTTGTGAGTTCAAGCTGCACACTGGGTGTAGAGATTAGTTAAATAAAAACTTTTAAAAAAAGAAAAAAGCTCTTTCTAGAAATATACTGCATGTGTGTGTGTGTCTGGAAATCTTACAACAAACCAAGAGGCAATCATCTGCACATTACAAATGGCAAAGCAGGGCTCAGCAAGGGTTAGAGGCCTCTTGTAAGAAGTAGAATCTGGGTTCGCACCCAGGTCCATCTGAACAAATAAGCCCTGCCCATGTCCTACGCCCAGTTAGCGCATCCTCTCTGGTGTATTATCAGCTTGTTAAAGGGGATAAGCAGACTCTGCCCTAACCAGAATCTGGCCAGACAATGTGGGTTTGCTTTTCTGTTTCTTCATTTTGGTTTTTTTTCAGCCTACCTGGTTTAAACAAATAAAGTGATCTTATGGGGGTGCCTGGGTAGCTCACTCAGTTAAACATCTCCCTTCTGCTCGGGTCATGATCCCAGAGTCCTGGGATTGAGTCCCACATCAGGCTCCCTGCTCTGCGGAGAGTCTGTGTCTCCCTCTGCCCCTCTCCCTGCACATGCTCTCTCTCTCTCTCTCTCTCTCTCAAATAAATAAATAAAAATCTTTAAGAAAATGATATCAGGGGGTTTTATGAAAACTGGATATTCCTGAAAACTCACAACATGTGTGTGCCATTGCCTGGATATCCATGTGGGCACAGAGATGGCTGATGCTGGATGCTGAGGCCATTACATTCTTGGACAGGTCACCTGTCCCCCGACTACTGCTGAGACCCAGAGGCCAAGGGGTCAATGTGATTCATCACCACACACTATCATTTTGCAAACCTACATCTCTCTCAGTAACAGCGAAGTGAATAAAAGATGAGCTGCGAGGCCAGCATCGAGCCTGGTGCATGTCCAGCAAGTATTGGCAACAAAGCAGGTGGTGTATCTGGGCCCAAGCACACTTAAGCTACACTTAGTTCAAGACCTGCCCGACTCCTGGAGGCTGTCACACTGGGACCCCCGGACTGGTGACCACCCACACCGGCCACGTGGCGGACTCCATCTGACCACTTACCGAGAGCCCCTGGGGACCAAAGAATGGTGACTGCCACTTGGTCGTGGCAAGCGTACTGACTGATGGTGATGTTCTGGGCATCAGCAATTACGTGCTTCCCCACCGGATTCAAGTAAGTGGTACAATCTGGAGCGTTGGGAGATCAAAGAACAGTTAGATTAAAACCTTTATTTTTTGAGGTCCATGGTCATCTCAAATTACACAGAGCCGTCTGGAGGTGGCCAAATCCATTCTGTCTAAAGACGAGCGCTGCAAAAGCCCAGACAGGACATCAAAGTTTGACCGTTCGGAGAACTCTAATATGCTATAGTGGGTTTAGTACCAACCCCGTTAACCACCCTTCGAGTGAAATTCTAGGACAGCGTGGGGAGGATCACACACAGTGTGACTGTATCTGTTCACACATATACAATTTGTCTATGTATCTGGCATTGACTTTTTTTTTTTAAGATTTTATTTATTTATATGACAGAGATCACAAGTAGGCAGAGAGGCAGGCAGAGACAGAGGGAGAAGCAGGCTCCCTGCTGAGCACTGAGCCCAATGCGGGGCTCAATTCCAGGACCCTGAGATCATGACCTGAGCCGAAGGTAGAGGCTTTAACCCACTGAACTACCCAGGCGCCCCTGGCATTGACTTTTTTACTATTATGACACTTTACCTAAACCAATCCTTATGTACATTGATTCAATCTGTTTATAGCATGAGAGAGTGATCTGAAACAAAACAAATGACTAAACAGTCTGGGGACTGCTTTTAGAAGAAACCTGGAGGCAAGGTGAGCAGGAAGAGGAAGCAGGACGAGGATGAGATTCATGGGGACGTAGCTCACAGCAAGACAATTAAACAATCCATTTAGTACCTACAAAAGGGACCAAATGACTTCCTGAAGAGCAAAGGTACCTTCAAAGGTAACTTCAACGTTAACAGCATCTCAAAGGTAAAACTTCTGTTCCCAGACACCATGTGTTAGCAAAAATACCCACAATGCCCACCAAATTCAAAGAGCTCCACGTTGCTCAAACAATGAAGACCAACTCTCTGGTACTGTGTGAGGACATTACCTACTGCCAGCAGTCAACGCAGCCACGACCATGGGGGCAGCTGTGATACCTGGTATTGCTAAAGAAACCTTCAAAGTCTACAGGATCCTAAAAAGTTCCCGGAAGCTTCCAACCAGACTCAGAATGAGATTCTAGTGAATGGCCGAGGGCTGTTGTGGCCACTCATGCAGGGAGAACCACCAGCCATCCCTGACAAATACCAACTCGTGATTTTTACACTGCTTCATCTCCATTTCCTTCTCAATGATTAAAATGGAAAACTCTCGTTGGTACCCGCTCCAAAAAAGTCCTCAGTTCCATCAAATGTCCAAACCGACTCATGATGCCTCTAAAGTCAGGGTGTTTTACTTTGAGATGAAGCAGTCAGGGGTATTTTCTAGGCTCAGTGAATCTGCTCCGCTCCCTGTGCCCCTGCTGTACACCACACCATACACTTCCCCTTTTTTTTTAAGATTTTATTTATTTATTTGACAGAGAAATCACAAGTAGGCAGAGAGGCAGGCAGAGAGAGAGAGAGAGAGAGGGAAGCAGGCTCCCTGCTGAGCAGAGAGCTCCATGCAGGGCTCGATCCCAGGACCCTGAGACCATGACCTGAGTCTAAGGCAATGGCTTAACCCACTGAGCCACTCAGGCGCCCCTACACTTCCCATTTTTAAAAAAGATTTTATTTGTTTATTTGAGAGAGAGAGTGTGAGAGAGTATGAGGGGTGGAGGGGGGAGGCAAAGGGAGAGGGAGAAGCAGACTCCTCGCTGAGCAGAGAGCCCTCATGACCTGAGCTGAAGGCAGATGCTCAACTGACTGAGCCACCCAGGCGCCCCCTCATTTCCCACTTTTATGACTAAAAACGTTCCCTGGGTATTTGAAAATAATAAAAGAACGTAAGAAAAATGTAGAAGTCAGCCATGCCCTCCCACCATACAGAGGTAAGTACTACCAGCTTCTAAAAAAATAATCTTCCAAGCCTTCCAATGTGCACATAATATTCCTCCTTTTTAAATTTCTTACTGCAGTTCACCACACATGCACTACAATGCACCCCCTCCCACTCTGGCAACTCCCAGCTCCCACACTGCCTGGGGCCCCGCCATCTTGCCTACCTGCTCTAGGTGGACCTGTTCCATAAACTCCATCTGCTTAAAAAGCAGCCACCTCTATACTTCAGTATTACTTCTTCTGAAGAGATGTTAATAATTAATAAAACCAAATTCTACTTCTAATGGAAATTGACTCCCAAAGCATTTAACATGTGTTCTCTGGGTGCAGAAGAGAATTTTAGGAGAGAAAAAAATTTTTCTTTAAACATCTGGTTTAACACCCACATTGTACAAATGAGGAAACATTTTGCAGCTAAGAGACCAGCTGGGTGGTTTTGGATTCCACTGCTGACCAGCCCTGGGTCAGGACAGAAAGCAGCCTCAGATGACTCATGCATGGCTCTTGCCATTCTAGCCTCAACACAGAGGTGATTACTATGGTAAGTTCTGAATCTGAGGTAGTCAGCCTGCAAAAAATCCTGGCTGAAACTAGATTCCCAACATTAAAAAAAAAAAAAAAAAAAAAGAAAAAAAGCCCCCATTAAACTTGTAAAATTCAAATTTTTTTTGGTAAGATTTTATTTATTTATTTGAGAGAGAGAGAGAACATGAACAGGGGAGGGGCAGAGGGAGAGAAGGATAAGCACGTTCCCCACCAAGCAGGGAGGCTGACCTGAAACTCAATCCCAGGACCCTGAGATCACGACCTGCGTCGAAGTCAGACCCTTAACAAACTGAGCCACCCAGGTGCCCCAAATTCAAACACTTCCATTTATTGAAACCTCTGACTTAAACAGCTTTTAGAAAAAGAGGCACAAATAAGAGCAAATCAGTTTTTTTCTTCCTTTGTTCATTCTTAATGCCAAAATTAGCACTCACCAGGTTTCTGTAAATATAATTATGCAAATATGAAGTCTAAGAATGGAGAAAATGTATTACAACCTACTCAGGCCATTACCCCCTCAGAGCCTGAAGGAGAAACGAGAAAAGCAACATGAAAGGAGACATGGAGACCTATGAAATTCGCTTTTGATTTAAGGGTAAGACATTCTCTTTCTTTGTAACATTGAATGGCAAAGGAGTAGAAAAATAAGATTTTGTAGTTTCGTGCTTTTGGTGAAAAACTTGGTAATTTGTTCTTAGCTATTTCAAACAGAACTGGTAACCAGTCAACGGAGCAGTAACAGAAACTTCTCGTGGAAGGGAGAAAGAAATATCTTTTCAGTGGAAAACAATGAATAAATTTTTTACACAAACCTGGATCCAATTATTAGGAACTCTTACATTTTGGATTCTGGTTACCAAAAAATTATGCCCAAATGATATTCTGCCAAAATGCAACTGAGCTTCAGATGTCTTGGGAGTCAATCTGAGTTGCGAATTAAATTCTAATTAAATGCTGAAGAATAAGAAAGAAAATAATGACGAAGAGACAGGCATCACGCACATGAGCCAAATATTTAGTCTCATGAAGAAAATAATAAGATACTTTTAAGTTTTACAGGTACAGATCCTCTTTCACAAAACCCCATATTAAATTAGAGCTGCAAATACTTGTTTGCAGCTGACCAGAAAATTCTGAACTCTTGAATGTAATACAAGATCAGCCAAGACCAAGAGCATATATTAGAAATTAACTCTGTAGCTCAAAGACAGATCTCTAACACATGCCTTTACTTAGCTGAATTAAGTATCACGGACTTGCAAATCTTTCATTAGCATTGTAACATTTACCCAGAGAGCATGCACACACCACTGACATGAAATCTGTTTCAAATGTAAGTCCTCATTGGTTAACTTGAAGTACTCAAGTCAGCAACTGTGGGCATAAATTTGACACACATATTTGTATCTCAAAATTGTTAGATTGTATACACGACCTCAAAAATCTTGCTTTCACAGTGATCATTTCAGAGGCCTCACTGTGACCCAAACCCATCACTTAAACGGATTCATAATCCTCTGCCAGAGATGAATCGAATGTCAGGAGTTACTGAACAGGAGTCAAGCTTCCTCTTGTTAACATTTTTACGTATAAATTATGGCTCATAAGGCTAAAATGCTCACAATTCTATATAATTACCTTCTTAGCATGAAAGCACTGCTGAGGGGGAATTCTATATGCTTAATCAGAAAAAAAAAAGCACCCCACCCTGCCCTGAGGAAACGATTCAGCCAGATAAAGCCACACTTCCTTGAGAGAAAGGGCCAAAAAGATGCTGTATTCCCATTCCGGTTGGAATGACTTCTAATATTGGCAGGTATCAATTACTGAGTGCACATCACAGGCCAACTAAATTGAGCAGTTAAAAGCATTACCTCATTAAAGCCTCAATACGATGCTCAGGAAGAAACTAATCTTTATTTTACAGCACGTGAGAACTAAGGCTTAGAGAAGTCCAGTGGCCTGCCATGGCTCACCAGTGACAGGTAGGGCACTGGAGGTGGAAGCCAGGCCTGCGGAGATGGCCAACAGGAGACCCGTGGGCCAATCTGGGACACATGTTCACTTGGACCACTCTGGGCTTGTGAACATGTTTAAATAGATACAAATACTAAAAAAATGTTCAAACAAACAAAAAAATGCCAATTTCTCTTTCTTCTTGCAAATCACAGCTGGCTACATTCAGAGGCAAGGCCCCAAGGAGCTGGAATGGAGAAGCCAGTGCTCCCTCCGGACCAGACCTGGGCTGTCCAGTTTGCCACAGTCCCTACCATTCCCTAGCATCCCACCACTTGAGCAGTGTCATCCACTTGTCCCCTGCTGGGCCCCTCCAAGCATCTGCTTTTGTTCTTAAGGACATGGTTATGTCTTGGAGACATAGGGTAGGTCTCCATACAGAGTTTCTCCCAAAACAGCAGACACTTGACCTATTTAAGCTTCCAAATACTTGAGTGGCTTCGTTGAGACTAGCCCCCTTAGCTCTATCGATTAACCTGCGCAAGTTCAGAAACTTCCACCAGCCCAGGAGCCGTGGGGTCCTTGATGAAGCACGGCTCTGTAAGCTTCAGATCACTGAAACGCCTCCATTCTCCAGTGGTGAAGACAGTTACTTACTGTCATATCGGAAGGTGATGTTGTGCAGCCCGCTGTTTCTGCTGGCCGGCCCCACTCCCTGTGGGAAAACAAGAGAACGTGATGAGGAGAGAAGCCAATTTGCTTTTCCAGCACACATCCCCATAGAGTCAAAATGTACACAAGATTGCAAAGACCCAGGGTCATACCAGTCGCTGAGCAATGTCTACCACTCCTCCCACCCACCCTGGGCCCCTTCTCCCCCACTGGCTGCCAACCTCCCTCCAGTGCAAGGAGATTCTTAACTAACTTCCAGGCCAAGAGCATCACGAGCACTCACTTCCCCTAAGACAATAGGAGCACGCTGTTCTGTGTTTGGGGGTTAAATAATAATTCATTAACAGTAAAATTGGGAGAGAGACCATGAGCTGCCAGCTGGAGCCCTTCCAGTTGGATCCACTTTGAGCAGTGATTGGTTATAAAATTCGCCTACCAGACACTCTGGTCCAAAAGCTCTATTAAGCTACGACAGATAGGCAATTCCTCAAGTCTAAGGAAACTGGTTTCTCATTCCAAGACCGGGAATGAGTGTGGGAATAAGCCATTACTTTTAATGAGAAAATTCTTCACTGCATCCATACCTATGCTTGGAATATAGAGGGTGGGTCATAAAAGAAAAAGAAAAAAGACTTTAAAAGGGCTAACTCTAACTCTTGGTGATGTGGCTGTTAGCCATTTGCACTCTTAATAGCAGGGATAACAACTCCGCCAGACTCCCCACTTTAATTACAACATCCACAGAGGGAGCACCAGAATCCTCCCATCGCCCCACCTTTTCCTAACCCACCACTTATCCATCATGGGAAAGAGCAGCTGCAGATCCGCCGACTCTGGCTGGTTTGACTGTTTCTGTAATAATCGGCAAATGTGCCATTCAGGGTTAATTGCAGAATTCGCCAAAAACAGTTAATTCTGAAATGCTAAATGATGGGAAAATATTCTAACCACACAGCTAAAGTTTCCACTCAACAAAGGGGATGCTGGGGAAAACCATATGCCGGCAGCCTGGTATTTAATGGGCAATTGTCACACTGAGACACAATGTGCAGAACCTGTCTGATGGAGCCCAGGGTCTTGGGCCACAACCCCATCACATCCATATGCTGGAGGCATGTTCACGCTGCTTATCCTGAAGCCAGCCATGCCCACTGAAACTCTATCCCTGAGCTCAGATAAACATGGAGCTCCAGGAAGGCACAGCTGCGCAGAATGGGAGGCACGCATGCGCGAACGTGCACACACCGAGATTCTAATTCAAGTAAGAAATAAGCGCTAACATGAAATCTACAACAACGCAGAGCACTAGCCCATGATCTACTGGGGCTCCCCTTCTTCCTGATGCACCTTCCTTCTCCAGCTTTCCTGTTTCCATCCTCCCTTTCCCTACACAAGATTCTGGAGTTCCTCCCCTGAGCTGAAACACTTTGGAAAGGGTGGTTTTCTTATGAAAATCCTAAATGCCTCCCTAATTCCTTAGGGACAAGGCCTCTAGGGTGCCACTAGAGGATGCCCAACTTCCAGATGGCCAAGACCGGAGTAGCACAACCAAGCAGGAGACAAAGTCATCGCCCCCCGCCCCACAACCCCTAGGAAATGCCCAAGACACCCAAACCACAGCCTTCTCCTCCCTTACGAAGCCCCAGGATACAAAATCACTCACCATCTATTATGAGCTAGACATTGCGCTAGGCACAGTGGAGAACAAAACAGCCACTGTCCCTGTCCTCAAGAGCAAAGTGACTCATTCCTTCAAAGGAGACTAATGGGGGTATGTGGATCACACACAAAGTACATAGATGAATTTCAAATCATACCCTGACCCTCCCAGAACTCTCAGTGTGAAACACAAGGCATACATAGCTCGGGTGAAGAGCCAGCCAAAAGAAAGCACACAGCCTATAAAACACCACAGGCAGCACCGCACAAAGGATGATTTGAGGGGGAAGGACAGCACACCCCAGAAGCTTGAAAGAAGTAAGGATAACTGGACTAGAAGGGAGGGAAAGGGAGCTTCATGGGAGGGAAACAAAAATGCAAGGGGCCAAGATACGTACCTTAATCCTTCCATCCTCCTGTTGGTGACCATGGGCAAACCACTTCACTCCACATGGTCCCAGCCTCCTCAACTATCTTCCTAAAAAGATAATTTGCATGACTTTCCCCTGGGAAAGGGGTTTGAGGAGGCCCACATGAAACCCTGTAGAGGAAGGGCTTTTCAAAAAGGAAATGCATTTCATTTAATAGCACATAGGACTCTTATGACCAGTCAGTGAGACCAGTCACATTACTTGTAGGACTGTCAGCTTTCACTTTGTTCTTCTTCTCCCCATATTTCTACTGCAGCATATTTTTCTTTTAAAGATTTTTATTTTTAAGTAATCTCTACACCTAACGTGGGGCTCGAACACATGACCCCAAGATCAAGAGTCACAGATCTGCAGACTGAGCCAGCCAGGCACCCCTAGAGCAGAATGTTTTTAACAGGTATTTTCTGGGCACTTGTATTGTGGAAAGAAGCCCACCACCATGAGATGTGCTATATCCTGCAGATAAGAACCTAAATCCCTCCAAATAAGGTCTGTGCTGCCTGCAGAGCTATTCAGAAGGGGGCCTAGTGAGCTGGCCTCAAAGGACAGTGAGGCTTGCATGTAACATCTATTCACTACCCACAGAGCACTCCACCTGCACCCAGGCCCTGCTGGGCTGGGCACTTGGCCCTGAACCAGACCTGGGTCCTGATCTTAAGGGGCGATGGCCACCAAGGTGATCTAATGTGCAAATCTGCCATTATTCCTCTGTTCCAAGCTCCCTGTCCCTTGCAGAACTTTTCTGATGTGGCTTCTGCCTCTCTTCTCAGCCACTTCCCTCCCTACATGCCAGACTCCTCCAGGCACTGCATTACTGCTCAGTCCATGTTTTGGAGCACTTCCAATATTCCAGAACGCCCTTCCCATCAGCCAGGTCCTGTTCCCGCCATAGGCTTCCCACCTTGGTAGAGCTCCATCACACTGGGTCTCTGACACAGAAATCTGCCTGCATACTCACTTGATGGAGGTATGATAATCCATCCCACAACTTGACCAGCATGGCACTTCTGCCAGGGCACATGAAAAACAGAACTTCTAATTCAACAAAAAATCAGAGACTAAAAGTCCCTGTCACGAAGTCGGGTCCTTGAACTCCAAGGCAACAGAGCGCAGTGCTCTCGGTTCCATGGCAAGGACCCACTCCGTGTACGCTGCAAGACCTTTCACTCTTGTAAGTCATCCACCACATGGTTTCCCGGCACTGCATCAGACAGGTGCTCTACCAGGCTTCGCCCAGTTCACACTCAAGTAATGCACCTGCTGCTCCTGGGCCCTCAGAAACCCCATCAGGGGGCGCCTGGGTGGCTCAGTGGGTTGGGCCTCTGCCTTTGGCTTGGGTCATGATCTCAGGGTCCTGGGATCCGGTCCCGCGTCGGGCTCTCTGCTCGGCGGGAAGCCTGCTTCTCCCTCTCTCTGCCTGCCTCTCTGCCTACTTGTGATCTCTGTCGAATAAATAAAATCTTTAAAAAAAAAAAAAAAAAAAGAAAGAAACCCCATCAGAAACGGTGTGCCCAGGCTAGCCCACAGAGCACAACTGTTTTCTTTCTACTGTGTGGTAGACAGACTAATACTCCCCACAAAAAATAAAAAATAAAATGTCTACATCATAATCCCCAGAACCTGTGTTACTTTACACAGACAGCAAAAAAGGACTACATAGACGTGATTAAGTTTAAGGATCCTGAGATGGGAAAATTATTCTGGATTATCCTGATGAGCCCAATGTAATCACAAGGGTCCTTCTAAGTGGGATTCAGGAGGGTCAGAGGAGGAAAAATGACCACAGAAATAGAGGGCAGAGAGACCAACATTAATTTCAAGATGCTGCACTACTGGATTTGAAGATGGAGACAGAAGGGGCTGATAAGCCAAGAAATGTAGGCAGTCTGTAGATGCTAGAAAAGGTGGAACATTGGTTCTCTACCAGAGCTCTCCCAGAGCCTCCAGGAGCCAGTCCTGCCAACACCTTGCTTTTAACCCCAAGGAAGACTCATTTTGAAATTCTGACTTCAACAACTATAAGATAATGCATGTGTGTTGTTTTAAGTCACTAAGTTGTGATAATTTGTTACAGCAGCAATTGAAAGCTAATACTTTTGGTGGCAGTATGGTTGAAATGGATCTGAATGTCCCAATCCCTCATGTGCTGTCATTTTCCCCTTCCTACCCCAGGGCAGACTGATCGCTTCTCACTGCAAGTCTATCCCACCCTGTCCTCACTGCAAGTCTATCCCACCTTGGCTGCAGGCAGACATGGGACACAGACCCAGTAGGGCTGTTTCAGATTCTGCCATATACACTTCTGTGGGCTAGCCTCGGACATATCTGGAGTAGAAGAGTGGTTAACACAATGGGCTTTGGACCTATACAGATATGTGTTCAAATCTCACCCTCTCAAGCTGGGTGACCTTAGATAAGCTCCTTAATTTTCCTGAGCCTCATTTTCCTGAGCTCTATAAAGCATCTGAATAAAACTTCCTGGAAAATCTCGCTGTGGGACTATGGGAGGTGACACCAATAGAGCTCTCTACACAGCACGTGACGCATTGAAGGAGTGATGGCACCATTCCTGGGAAGATTCCTGCCCTAATAAGCAAGGAGAGAGCTGTGCAGCGTAGGGGTAGGTGAAGTAGAAAGGGGAATGGTCACAGGAAGGGGCATCTCCAGACATGACCGGTCTTATCATCCAGACCCAGGGGGTCTGGCAGATGGATGGACAGGTCAGGGCAAGGTGACAAAGGCACTAACCACCAGACCACAACAGTCTTGGTGGGAACTGGGCAACCCAGTGACCCCCATCTCTGGTGAGTGTTCAGGTTGGATCAGATGGGGAGAGACTGAAGGCAAAATGACTAGGGCAGCCCCCCTACAGACTCATCCTCCCTGCAACTTGCGCCACAGTCCTGGGCCTGGCCCACAGTCAGCCTTCGATCAATATTAGTTTTTTCCCCCA